AATTTGATTGTGCCTCACCTTAATATTCTGTTGAACGTCTTGTCTCAAAACAGTCATTGTTGGTCCTATCTTATCTGCAGAAGCATGGATCATAGACAAGTAGTAAAACTTGTTAGGCAAACATTTGGGGTTGAGAAGACAGAGATCAAGCAAGTAAACCAACCCAGGACTTGTAAAACCAAGTAACATAGAGATAGGAAAGGTTTCGTGGGGATTAGCGCAGCTTCATGATTATCTCCAGGTTTAACGAGAACCAACACCGAAAGCTCTTCAATGGCAGAGCTTATCTCTGAGCTCGACCTAATCTCTGTACTCTTCTTCTGCTTCATTTCTCTCACTTTCCCTCCTTCCTCCTCTTCGTGTTTTGTCCCGACTCTGACTATATATATTGCTCACAATTAGTGGGGTTACCATGTCCGTATAATAAATTAAACACCTTTACTTCGACTTGCTTACTGTAATCAATTGCTCCAGAATAATACACAGGCACAGAGAAAAGACTCCCATGAAGATGACACAACTACTAAATAAAATCAAGTGGCAGCCTCGTCCTTGTTGAGCGAGTCGCTTTATTTTTTAATTATATTTATTCTTAATATATTTGCTATGAATTTTCTGGTGTCAGCCATTGATGGTGACCTTAAATTTGACCTTAGAGTTATCGACTCTAATCCTCCTCCCCCCTTACGTCAGTCCAGAACATTATCACTGAATAAACTAAACCCACGTAGGTCCCATACCGGAAAGCGATATAAGCCAGCACAATCTAGCCGTTGATCTCAGGGAAGACTGGGCTCGTGGGTTTGGGAGTGACACGTGGAAGAACATGATGGATAGGGGAGAGCTGGCTTGCGTCATGATGTGGGCTCCACAATTGGGTTGAATACGACAATCATGAGGCCCATGGCATATGGTGAACAGTCAAAAGCAGTTTTTACCAAAAGAATAAAGCTAAATAATTAAATAAAGTAGCCCTTACTTTCACCATTGATTTGAGGACGTGAAGATTAGCTTTTGTGAAAGTAATCCACACTATAATTAAGTATTCTTTTAAATAAGTACACTTTCATGTAGAACACGCAAGTACGTTTACGTGTATAAAGCGATAACTGGGGAAGGCATTATTATTTAAATAATTATATAAACCAACCAAGATTAATTATTAGTCCGGAGTAGGAGTTTAAGACAAACTTATTTTCTAGTGGCCTCGGTTCAACTTGCTCTCAGCATGAAGAATTTGTTAATGGATAATCTGTGTTGACTAATAATACATATTTTACGATTATTTTTTGTATGCACTGGGTTGTTATTTTTATGTTTTGGTTGAGTGTTGTGCGGTTCCATGATGATAAAATATCCGAGAAGGAGTTTTGCTCAAGCACATCATAGTTTGTATAATCGTTCTTAAAAAGTATTTTTTATAAAAAAAATAATACTTATTTATTATAAATAATCAATTAAACCAAATTTTTAAATTTATTTAAATAAATAAATTAGTTTTTATATTTGAAATTGAAGATAGTAAAACAATGGGATGATAGCAAAGAAACTTAAATAATTTTCAGTTCTCGTTATGAGATTTTATTTTTAAACTATAAACAGGGTTTTATAATTAAAATGGGAACTAATATACACCAATGATCATCCGTGACGTCACAATTTTCTTGCTGCCCGTTGCACTTGAATCCCAATGAAAACGCGCCATCCACGAATGTACGCACACAGAGATAAAGAGACACGTATATACAGGCCAATCATTAATAGATGTCAGCTTATTTTCTATACTACGAGTATCTTTTATATTTAACATAAGAATCAGTTCAACGTTTAATTTAATCTTAACACATAACATTTTAATTTACGTTGTCTCTTAAATTTATTTATTTTTTTAGAATACTTCTTGTTATAGTTATACATATTAAAAATTTCATAAAATAATAGTTTTAGTTAATGTATATTATTAGTAAGAATATAATAAAAAATAATACTATTTATTACTATTAACTAATTTGACAAGTTTTGTTAGTTTACTCAAAAGTATATATACTGTATAGAGAGTGCCTCTCCCCACCCGCACAAACCAGGCATGAATCAAGCCTTGCCTCTTTAATTTGCTTCGTAAACTGCTATTCCACTTTTTTGTCTAAGGACGCGGAATGCACAAATGTATGGCAGCATAATGAATAGAATAGATGATACGGTAAGGAGGAGAAATTAATCGATCATTATTTTTTCTCCATTTTAATTAGATTTTAGTTTTTTTTTATTTCTAATAGCTTTTTATATTTTTCTCAATTGTAAGCATTAGTTCATATATTCATAATCCATTTAAGTAGAGCTGACTTAAATGCTAGCTCAGTTAAAAAAATATTTTTTTAAAAAAAGTAAAATTAGGGAATTAAATTTATTAATTATCAATGTAAAAATTAAAAAATATATAGTATTTTGTTCATAAAAGTGTATGTCAGTTGAAATTTGTGTCGTCATCAGCTACTAACTTAGTTTTTCTTACAAATTAACAAACTATGAGTATAATTAAGAAAATTACGAAGATCCAATAACAAAACTAAAAAAACTTGATCAAAAATAAAATAAAATTATATGGACTTTGTATGCTAATTTTCCATGATAACAAAGCCAATTCTTACACGTAAAGGACTCGTAAGACTGCTAGTTTTACGACAAATTAAAAATAACAATATACCCCTTTCTGATGCTATTTATAACGTCCTTTAAATATTTTTCACATAAATTAAAAAAAATCTTAAAATTTATTAATTCTATATTAAAATATAATAACTTTTCAATTCTTTCCCTATTTGATATATACAACTTTTAAAAAACAGTAATTATCTACACTACTTATTTGGTCCTATTTATAAGACAGAATAAGAAGACATTTTTTAGTCATATTTACAAAGCATTAAGAGAAATCTTTTATAAGGACCTACAATCTTACCTTTTATTTTTTATTGTATTGATTTTGTTTACATGGGGTATAATATATATTAAATAAGGATGAAATTAGAAAGTTATTGAATTTTAAATGAGAACTAATGAAATTTAAGATTTTTCTTCATTTGTTTGAAACACGTTAAAAGTGACTTATAAATAAAAAAAAAGAGAAGTTTAATAAATAAAGGGAAAAAATACATTTATAGAAAAAATTTAATAAAATGACTTATAAATAAGGAAAAAAAACCTTCTCTTTCTATTCTATATGAGAAACAAAGTAGATTGAAATTTTATATTTATGACTAAAATAAAAACCAAACGAGCTCTTGTACTAAAGATAGGAAGTGTTATTAATTGAAAAAGAGAGGAAAAGATATCACCCTATCGCTGAACTTTTTGTTCTTGATCATGCCTTGTGTTGTTCAACGAATCTGGTAAATGAATTATGTTGTTTATGACTTATAAATAATAAATTTTATAATTATATTTTGTTTGGTTGAAAAAAAGGGGTTAAGCCCAGTACAATTAATTGATGATTATTCTTCTAGGAATTTCAAAACCAGCAGCGTCCTGCTTAACCAAGACTTCTACCATATGAGGAGGTGTTGTCCATATAATTATATTGAGCATTGATATGACTGGTATCGAATCAGATTTAATCGATCGAATTACTCCTCCAGTCCTAATTATAAGACTCAATTGACTTATTTGAGAAGATTAAGGAAGTAAGTTAAATTGGTTATTTATAATAAATAAGTGTTGTCATTCCTAAAATATCCTTGCTAATTAAGTATATTGGCTAAAACTATCATTATTAGAAGGATTATCTTGGAAAAAAATGCATAAATATAAGAGACAAAATGGATTGGGTTCTTATAATTAGGACCAAATAAAAAGTCAAATTGGGTCTTATAATAAGGACCGGAGGAGTATTTGATTTACTTTTCAATGATAATATGAGTTTAACACTTTAACTAAAACGAAGGAATTTAATTATCGCAATAATGGACCTTACACTAGATTGTTCGGTGGCAATGGCGTGCATGCATACACACACACATGTATGTATGTATATATTAATAGTGAGGAAGGAATATAAAAGGTACCAGCAGAGTGGCAAGTTCCATGCATAGCTGAAAAAAAAAAAAGAAAAAATAATGGATGCAGCCAAAATTAAAAATGAAGAGCTAATTAATTTAGTGGCAGAGAGAGGAGAGGATTATTGACATGGGATCTCTCTGGATCCCGAAATTTTAATACCTAACTTTTGTATTGTATGTGTTTTTCAACCCAACCTTCCTAATAACTAAATCTTGGCTTCTTCCCCGAGTTAATGAAAAGCAATATGCTCTCTCAAACTCTTTTATTTTTTATTTTATTTTATACAATTAAGAGCTCAGTGTGTTTAACCGGTTGAGCAATAATAAGCAAAGACTTCATAAGGTGAGTTAAACTTAATTTTAGTTGGCCCATAAAAAGTCCAATAAGAAAAACACCAATCTATACCACACAGTGCACACAATATGACTCGCATTATTTGGGCTCAAAACATCAGAACTAATTAATCAATACTGAATCTGTCTTGATAAGATAAATGTGAGAAAAAATTGCAAAATTTTCGACAAATGAAAATCACTTTGAAAAAAAAATTTATTTAATAAACTTATAAGAATAATAAATTTGTAATTTTACGAATAACAATATTTGTTTCGAAGGTGCATTTAATAATTAAACATGATTCGTTATTCATCGCTGTTTTTTCAGATTTCCAAAAAACCACATTTCGTCACTAACCAATGCAACTTTCAACTGAATCAAACCACCTCCAAAAGCTAAACCAAACTAAATATTTGAATATCTGGGTGTTAATATGGGCTCCCTTAGAGCCCAATTAACAATTTTACTTTTGACACTTGAGCTCAATAATTATTGGGGCTCCGGGGGCCTATGGTGGGCTTTGAGTGATTATCTCCCACAGAGGTCATATAAGCCCAGCCCATCAGATTCCCACTAATGATGTTGCAGAGCGGAACGAGGACCAGAAATATTGTTTATCTCCAACGTGATGACGAAGGAGATGGAGAAGGAGAATTGAGCTCGTCATCTTACGGTAGCGTAATCAGCAATGACTGTAGCTCTGGGCGTGTCTTCTTTAGGCTCACTCTTAGCGCATTTACCTCGGCAATTAGTTGTTACTTCCCCTGAAGTTTTGCGAGCACGTTCTTTTTCAAAACTGGGCTTTCATTCTTTGCAGTTAAAGAGAGCTTCGTCCCCAAGAAGGTTCGTAATTCGAGCTGCCAGAATGGAGTCCACAAGGGTCACGCTGGGTTTTAGAGCTCCGGAATTTCAGGTAGTTACTGTTCTAGTCTTCTGTTCCTGTTTATTTATTTGTTATCCGAGCAAGGGATATACTAGTTCTTAAAAGACGTTGATATCTATTTTCCTCCTGTATTGTTGTTGGATGGATTTAATTAGCTTCCAGAGCCTCTCACTGGGAAAACATGGAAATTAGAAGATTTTGAAGGATATCCAGCCCTTCTGGTAAGATGGCATATGCTAGGTAGAGCCTCCGCTGTCGATTATTTCTGCCTTTTATCATGTCTGCTTTGCCCTTTTGTTAGTATTCGACTTGTTCCGCGGTTCTCTCCTTTTTTGCGGTCCAACGAGTGAGGAAGATTTCAGCGTCCGTACGGAATTAGAAGTTAGCTTCAAATTATATTCACTGGTTTGTCAGTCTAGGATTGGGCACCAGTTTGTCACTGAAACTGGTGATGTTTTAAAATTAACTCACTGACTTGTGAAGAAAATAATTTTGTAGAATGCCAACTAGACGCTGATTCCTGTCTGCTTCATAGTGGGTTTATATCGATCTAGTTAAACCATTTTTTTTCCTTTGTTGCATTGTGCAAACATCCTCATGAGAATTCTTTTTGTTTATTTTCATTAACTGTCCAGCCTTATTGTATAAATTTATGAGTGTTTTGGCAATAATTACCTTTCTAGTTGGAGTATTTGCTAATTTAATGAAAGCTTGATCTCCTCCCTTTGCTTTAAATATTGACAAAGTTTCTCTTGTTTTAATATATGTTTTCCCTTCATGTTCACACAGGTTATGTTTATATGCAATCACTGTCCATTTGTCAAACACCTGAAAAAAGATATAGTAAAGCTTACAAATTTCTATATGCAGGTAGTGAATTTACCCACCTTAGAAGAAATTAGTTCTTTCTTTTAGCAGCACTGCAGCAGCATATACTTGCATAAGCAAAATGTTAAAACATTTGTCTTTTGCTTCCCTACAGAAAGGACTTGCAGTCATTGCTATTTCTTCAAATTCTGTGACCACACATCCCCAGGTTCTTGTAACTTCATATTTGATAATAAAGCTTTTTGGAAGCTATACTATTGTTTGTCCAACGTGGGATTGTTCCTCACAGGATGGACCAGAATTTATGGCTGAAGAAGCTAAGCTGTTCAACTATCCTTTCCCATATCTCTATGATGAGGTGCGCTACAGTAAATATCAATGTCTTCATTGTTAATTATTTCCTTTATAGCTGCACAAATGCCTATCTGATTTTATTTGTTTAGCCTAATTATCAACTGACTCCTTTTGATGCAAATCAGCATTGTTATGTTCATATATTAACGTGATGAAGTTATTTGTTAGGTTCTCTATAGGCCACTTTTACAGCTTAAAATTGAGTTGCTTGTCCTCTTGTGTCACTGGCGCGGAATGAATTTGATACTGATAACTGGTAGACCTATTTCATTCATAAAGTTTATTGAATATTCATTCTGAAGTTTTGAGAAATCTGAGACCTGACATGATCCCTGGGAATATCAATTTCTCAAGATATGAATGGGACACAATGCAACTCGGTTATCATTATATTTTAATTAACATGTTTTAAATATTTAGCGTGTTTCTAAGTCATGCTGACAATTTGATGATAATTTCGGAACTCCCTTTTTCTGATAGCATAAACTCATATGAAACAGCAACTGCTGAGGGTTTTTAACTTACAAAGATCACTGAAAACAACTTATTGAAGAATTCGTGAATTCTTCATGTCTTTCTTGAAGCTGGTAAAATCTTACATGATAATGGTGGAATATGTTGGAGTGCAGACCCAAGATGCAGCAAGAGATTTTGGAGCAGTCTGTACACCGGAATTTTACCTTTTTAAAAAGGTAATCACTTCTAGCGTGCCCTGACTCTTGGAAATTGATAGATTAAAAATCAACCTTAAGAACTGGCATATAAGTTGCATTTGCGGTTCAGTGTTAACTGTTAAGCATGAATTTACAAAGGTGTGCGCCGGAGAGCTGGTATCCACTTCTTTCTTTGAAACCTTAAACCAACCCTATGAAATGACAGGATGGTCGGAGGCCGTTTGAGCTAGTTTATCATGGGCAGTTTGATGATTCACGGCCCAATAGCAATGTGCCTGTCACTGGAAGGTTGGCTTCTTTAACTGAGGTTAATTGAACTGTCAGCTGATGGATCTATCTAAACATGCGGTAACCTGTAATTTTTTCTTCTTTTTTAAATAAATAAAGGGACCTGAGTCTGGCGATAGATCGAGTTCTTAGTGGCCAGCCAGTACCATCAGACCAAAAGCCCAGGTAATACATGTTGCCATTCCTTTCAAATTGTTCGGGCATCTTTGATTTCCATCATGATCACGTACTTAAGAGTCATCATTTTCTTCTTGTATAAAGTATGGGATGCAGCATAAAGTGGCATCCAGGGAGAGCGTGATAATGTCGAGCTGCGAAAATCTCTCTCAAGATATTTATGTGAGTTCCAGTTCTTATACTCTTCAAGGTGTTCCGGGATTTAGCGATTTCAGCCATTGTGATTTTGAATTATGCGACATTTACTGCTCTTTTCCTTTCTTCCAGTGTTCCTGTTTCATTTCATCACCTTGATTCCAAAAAGTCCTGTTTAAAAGGCGAAAATGGTGTGCTGGTTTGGTTTCTCCTGCATACTGTATCTGTATGTAGTGTAACTTATTTAACACGTAAATACTATATGTTAAGGAGATAGGCTTTTAGAGAGTTCCGGGCTCCCGTTCTGTCATGAAACAGTTGTTTCTGCCCCCCGTTTATCAGTACAGGGCTCTATGCTATAACCATGAGTTCTATTTTGTAATTCTTGTGGAAATTGTCCTCTTAATAGTTTTTTTTTTTAACTATGAAAACTTGATGCATGGTGCCTTTAGAGCGCATGCGGGACAGTTGTATCTCTGTTCCGTACAGTCTCTCTAGTTATTAACGTTATATCTTTGTCAAACTCTGGAGTTAAATTAATTTTTAGCGCAAATATAAACTTGTTGTGTAAATTCGTGGGGTAAATTTGTATAAGTTTGCGTGTATTAATGAATAATTATTAAAAGGCTTAATTATACTTTTAAAACTTTAATTTCATACAAGATTTTAATATAGTTCTTTAACTTTTAAATAATATATTTTTAATCTTTTAATCCTGTTAATAAAAATGATGATATTTTGATTTTAAATGTTGGTAAAGTGTTTTTAAATGTTAAAATTAAATTTATTGGATTAAAGGACTAAAAGTATGTGTTTTAATTTTAAGGGATCAAATTGAAATATTATATAAAGTCAAAGAAAAAAATATTTTAGTTTTATTAAAATATTTAATTATATAATTAAAGTGTAATGTATAGTAACAAATTATATAATTAAAATGTAGCGTATAATAACAAATTTATTTAAATATAAGTCATACTAATTTAAAATGAGTTATGCGTAAATCACAGAGAAATGCCGAATTAAAAAAAAAAAACTTAATTGTTAATAGGTTCTTCTTGTGGATTGGTGGTAAAATAACCATAGGATGTCATGTAATTGCCACAAGTTGACATATAAAAGGCATCTATAAATCTCTCACTCGAGACCTCACCAGAGACTTTTATGTGATATTTTTGAATACCCGTTGTTTTAAAGACACCAGTTTTCTTATAATTACAATTATTTATACGGGTATCTTCTTTGTAACTTTTATCGAAGATTCCAACTTTATGAACTTGTTCCCCACACGCTGCTCTGCACATGGTCAAAACGAATCCGTACAGGTCGAGTCTATCCAGGTTTCAGGTAACCTAATGGGTTTACTGAATTAATACTATGAACTCAGTGATTGACTCCGATTTGAATATTACTAAAAATGGTCATTATAAAAATATTAAAAATTATCTGCAACAAATATTCATGCAGGTCATTAAATCAATTTTTATTTTAAGCATTTAATTATAATATTTTGAATTTGAAGAGCAGATTAAATGATGAGCGAGCTGTGGATTAAAGAATTTACCATTAGTTTTAGCAAATCCTTATGTTAGTGAAAACAATAATGTTGCAGATGATCAAGCACAACACAATCTTGGAAGCATTTAGTACTACTATCTATATGTAGCACTAAAAAAAAATTCAATTTAAAAATTTCATTTGCTTTGCCTATAAGTAAAGACATGCTTTTATTGTTTTTTTTTTTTTTGCTTTCTTTCCATTTTTGTTCACAGCCCGATCATAGAAGGCCAAGTGGCTTCCCTGAAGATGTCCTTCCATACAAGTTTATTTGGCGAAGCAATTAACGCTCCAAAAAAACTTGTCTTCTTTGTGGCACAACGCATTCGAATTGTCATGATCACCGTGACAAGTCCTCCTTCCTGATTTCTGATATGCTCGTCAGGCGAAATCTATTATTAGGAGACACTTTAATAGAAGCCTCCTTTTATTGCCTTTGTCGCTATTATTTCTTTAGTACACTTGTTCTGCTCCTAAAAATCTGTGCGGGAGGTTATGATATTCATCTATTTTGTATCATTCATTCCGCCCAACACTTCAGATTCTGCCTCCAAACTACACGTGTAGTGTCTGATCATGTGTCTCCTGTAGCATAAATTCGCCAAACATGGGAGGTTGGTTGGGGAAAGAAAGAAAGCGGTGGGTCACACTTTCTCACATGATTGTAATTTTTTCTTTCTAAATGAATTCAGTTTCATGGCTAATTACAGCACCAAATCCAATGAAAGTACTATTACTGCAGCCTTTTTCTTTTCCCTTTTCCTGCTTTACAGCATGTTGCTTTGATATCAACTGCTGGCAATTCTTGCCTAGTCCTCACTGTAGACTTCATCCATTAACGAAGAAAATAAATCCGCTTATGTGGAGCCCATGTATAGATGGGAAGAATTCTTTAGCTGCAAATCACAAATCAAAAGGAAAGGAAAGCTAACCTAGAGAGAGCCGCTTGACTTATAAATCACACTACATTTGTGAAGCCTTCAGATACGTGACTCATAACATAATACTATTGGGTTATACTTGTAAGTTGACTAGACCATCTTATGTATCTGCTGAAATAGTAATAGTTGCACTTTTCTACAAGTCATTCCACATATCCTCACCTTCCCTTCTTGCTTGTATTGCTATAATCTACACGCCAGTAGATTATTTGATTATATATGATGTGGTTCTAGATGAGCTGAACTACATCTAGATGTACTACCTTACCTTTTAGTTTTGAGGTTCATGTTTCTCGAATGGGAAAATATTGTGATTACTTAACATTGGTGATTACTTGCGTTCTTAACTAGTGGACATCCGATCCATTGCAATATCTGTGGGCCTAGGATGGTCTCCTGGCTACGTATCTTTCAAGAACATGGAGCACCAGCTCTCTCTCTATCTTCACAGAAATTATTGTAGGGACAATTGAGAGGGTGGTGGCCCAGATGCTTCCTATGATTTTTGCCCTCTATAAGCTTACAGCCAAGATAGGCCTCGTCACCTACGCTTTTCTCTGGCCCTTCTCTCCATCCATTTGGATGCTATGTCTGTTTCCTCAGGTTCCTTATCCTATAGCTGCTAAGGTTAATTGAACCCTTAAAGTCTCGTTACTTTACCACACTGTTCAACATGTTTACTTCCTCTGCCATTTGTTGTCGGCAGAAACAGGTTTTAGATTGGTGAGAGACCCGATTCCTCAAAGAATGTTCTTTAGTGGACTGAATTATGCTCTACTCTGTAGCTATATGACAAGGCTTTTACAGCTGCATGCCCGTTTACAGTATAAATTATACAAGGGACTCTTCATTTTTTTTTTTTGGTTACATACAAGGGGTTGTATTTTATTCTTATAAAAAGGATACATAAGATGCACAAAAGAATATTACGAAATGATACGCTCTATGAAATGGAGGACTTGCGAAGGATGGATGGTTCCAGACTTCCAGTATGTATGGTTTGCTTTGAACTGAAGAGTTAGCTTGTATATATAGCTTCCATTCAAAAGGCAGAAATTTGGAATTGCTATTTGAGACTAATCTATACAATTATTTTGTTACTTGAATGAACAAAAAATTAGGAAGAAGATGACGACGACGACGATTCTATTAGTGGTTCACATGATCTGGAGAAACTTGAACAGTGAACTGCGACTTTTTGATTGGTGACTGCCCCTTTTGGAGAAAACTTGGTTTCTCGAAATTGTCAGTTTCATGCCTGATCTCCTTGAGCATTGCTGTCACATCTTTCATGGTGGGTCGTTCTTCCGGGGATGGATTTACGCACAAGAGAGCCACCCCTAGAACTTGAAGCATCTCTGGCGTTCTAGTACCACATTGCAATACTAGTTGCTGGTCAAGAATTGATGTGAATTCCCTTTTCTTCTCTCTGATTTCCCTGTTAACCCAAGTGACAATGTGGGCACCCTCTGGAATCCTATTATCAGTTGGCTCCATTCCCGTCAAAACCTCCAGCAGCACTACCCCATAACTGTACACATCACTCTTCTCTGTGATCCTTAGGCTGTATCCATATTCTGCAGTTTCAAAGAAAAATCCTCTGATTACTCATAAGTCAAATGGCGTGGAGGATAAGCCAAAATAGTGATTAAAAAAAAGAAGTGTTTTTAACAAATTAATGATACATGACACAGAAAATCAATAACTGGTTTAAAGAGCCTCAGAGCGGATATACTCACCAGGAGCTATGTACCCATAAGAGCCTGCAACTATGGCAGAGGCTTTTGAACACTCAGAGGAATTCACCAGTTTTGCAAGACCAAAATCTGCAATGAAAGCTTCAAATTGCGGTCCTACCAGGATGTTGTTAGCTTTAATGTCCCTGTGGACAATTGGAGGTATACAATCATGATGCAGATATTCTAGACCATGAGCTGCTCCCAGTATGATCTTATACCTTGCATCCCAATCCAAGAACAACCTCTTTTCATGGAGCAACCCACACAAACTCCCATTGCTGATATAATCAAATAGGAGTAATCTTGTTCTTCCATTGTTACAGCATCCGAGAAGCCTGACGATATTTTTATGTCTTATTGATCCTAAGGTCTGAACCTCTGCAGAGAACAAATCTCTCTCTGGTGGCTCGTCATTCTTTATTGGCCAGAGCTTCTTCACTGCAATTATCTGCTTCATTGGAGTCTCTACTTGATAAACAATCCCCGAGCAACCCTTTCCTACAACGTTTGAATCTGATAACTTTGTGACAATGTCATTGATGGAGAAGTTAAGTTTTTGAAATGGAGTAAAAGTCCATTCCATTTCACTTTCTTCATCAAATTTCCTCTCAAATGTGGCCCCGTGAATTCTCAGAGCAAAAATCACTCCAAAAGTCACAAATACAGCCGTTAAAATAACACCAAGAAAAGTGTAAATAATAACATTTCTTACTGACTTAATGCCTTGGTGATTTCGATTCATGTCACACTTGCTAATGCAGAGCTCAGGGTTGCCAGCAAATGCAGCAGCAGGGAGTTCATGAAAGAACTTTGTATCTGGAAGTGAACCAGTGAAACTATTGTAGGAGACATTCAAAGACACTAAATTGTCAAGACTACCCAGTATTCTGAGGCTGCCTGTTAGCTTGTTGTGGGAGAGGTCTAAGTTGGAAAGTTTTGAGAGATTTGAGAAGCTCTCTGGAATGGGACCTGTTATAGTGTTCCAACTCAAGTTCAAGAGGATATCCAGTCCTTGCAATTGTCCGATCTCATCTGGGATGGAACCAGAGATTCTGTTGTTGCTAATATCCAGCAACTGCAAATTCTTACAAAGGCCCAGTGACTGAGGGATCAAACCTGTAATGCTGTTGCCACTGATCATTAGCTTATTTAAAGATGTAAGCTTGCCCAAATTTTGGGGAATACTTCCAGTTATTCTGTTTGCAGAAAGATCCAAGACATTAAGAACAAGTAGGAATTCAAAGGAGGAAGGAATTGCTCCTTGCAGCTGATTCTTGTGCAAGTCAAGCATTTGTAGCTGATTGCAGTTGCCAATTTGGTTGGGAATTTCTCCATTGAGTAGATTATCTGACAATTCAAGAAAGCTCAATCTGCTTAAAAGACCTATTTCTGGTGGAATTGGACCGGTGAGGGTGTTTGATCCCAGCCGCAGCCTGACCAAGTTGGTGCAGCTGCCAATATCTGGGGGAAGTTGACCTGAGAGTCGATTTGAAATCAACAATAGCTGAGTTAAGTTCTCTAGATGAAAGAGAGCACTTGGAATTGACCCAGTGAGGAAATTGTGTGAGAGATCAAGTGCCTCAAGTTTCTCACAGTTGGATAGTTCTGTTGGTATGCTTCCATAGAGTTGGTTCTGCCAAGCAAAGAACAAGGTGAGTTCTTTCAGTTGTCCCATAACAGGTGGAATCTCGCCAGAGAACCTGTTGTTATCTAATTCAAGCTGCTTCAGTCTGGAAAAATTGCCAATAAAGGAAGGTATTTCTCCAGAAATGTTATTATCAGAGAGAAGAAGCTCCTCCAATAAGAGCAAATTTCTAAGAGTCACAGGGAGCTCACCTTCCAAGGAATTCAAAGAAAAATCTACAACCATCAGATTTGTACAGTTGCCCAGACTTTCTGGAATGGTGCCAGTTAAATTGTTCTGCCACAGCATTACTCTCCTTAGGCTTTTCATGGAGCCCAATTCACAAGGAACGTTACCAGAAAGCTGATTTTCATATAGAAACAAATTCTCCAAGGCTGAACAATTATGAATCTCTGGTGGGATATGACCTGTGAGGTTTGCTGTGTAGACAGAAAGCGTCTTGAGATTCTTAAGTTCCCCTATACTTGAAGGAATCTCCCCTGAAATCCCAGTATCTGCAAGACCCAGAAAAGTGAGAGCTTTACAATTTGAAATCTGCATTGGAATTTCACCATGGATTCCCTGATTTCCACCTGCTCGAAACATTTCTAGATCTTTCAAATGGCCTATCTCTCCAGGAATCTTGCCAGAAAGCTGGTTGTCAAACAGTTCCAGCTGACGAAGCTTGGAACAATTCCCAATTTCTGTTGGAATTTCACCATGTAAGGAATTTGAATTTAATTTTAACCACTGCAGATTAGTTAACTTCCCCATTTCTGCAGGAATGGTTCCTGATAAAGCATTGAAGCTGAGGTCCAAAGAAACCAGAGACGACAAGTTCCCTACTGAACTTGGAACCTCACCAGTAAGATTTCCATTTGAGATGACAAGAGTGGTGAGGTGACCAAAAGAAAGGAGTTGCGTTGGGAAGCTGCTACGGAGATTGATAGATGTTATTACAATATCTGAAACAAAACCATCTTTGGAACACCTTATATAATCCCATTTGCAAGGACTTTTGTCGGTTGGATTCCATGAAGAGAAGGAAGTAGCAGAATCAGAGGAATTGAATGTTGAAAGCCATGAAAGCAGGGAGAGACCTTCCTGGTTCAGAGTATAGACGGATGGAAACAAGGAGATATTAAGAAGCAAGATAAAGAGAGTTATTGCATTGCTTGACATGATGAGGTCGGCGTGCTGCTACTGTTGTATCTCATCAAAACTGCACCGCGCTAGTCTCTCAAATTTACTCTGTATGTTCCCTTTATCATTGATAGTTGGATATTGAATTCCCATTACACCATTTAAAGTTCATGACAAGGACGTAGACTTTTCCTTTATTCTCCTTCTTGAAACAGTATTTATTGTTTCCTTTGAAGTAAGTTTACTGCAAAAACAGAACAAACAGACAAATTTGAAAGTTGGCATAGTAAAATTTGGTAAATGGTAATTGAAGGTTGACTTTTTACTTGGTTAAGTAATAAATAGTATTGATCCTTTCTTTCAATAATTTTTTTTTGCATTCAGGATTTAGGACTGAAGTTTCAAAACTGCAAGAACACAATAAATAGCGGCTTCTGTAATGTATTATATACCCAATTTTTGTTATATTAAACAAAATTTTAGTACAGGTTTCAGCATTATGTAATGGAGCTGTTATCCAGATGTAAAGTAAGAGAATATCGGCTGTGAAAATGACTGTATTGGCTTATACTCCTCCGGTCCTTAATATAGGACCCAATTATTGAGTTGGTTTGGATCTTAAATATAAGACCCATTTCTCATATTTGTCAATTTTCTCTAAATTATCCCTATAGATACTCCCTCAACCATAATCAAGTAGAAGAAGAAGAGGGGGTATTAAGAAAGATGATTATGGTATTTTAGGAAAAACGTGTCACATTTCTTATAATTAACTAACTTACCTAACTTTCTTAATTTAATCAAATTAGTTAAATGGGTCTTATATTAAAGAACGGAGGCGTATATTGTTTTCTGGGTGGTAACTTGCCTGATACATAATAGGACAATATAACTGGGAGAGCAGGAGTGCAGTTCTGAACTGTTGCGATTTTTTTAATCCTTTAAGAATATCTTGGTCTCCTCCTCTGTATTTTTCTTCTCTTTTAGCGATAGTGTTCCTTTTATTTATTTGTTATATTTTGCTGTTGTAGCAAAATTGTTCATTTGTTGTGAAGCACATAACAGCAGTTTTTCTTCTTCCTGGTCCTTTTAGGTGCAAGTGACAGTAGTTGCTGCGAGTTCCTGGAGCCACCATGATGATGGTTCATCTAATTCGGCATAACAATCCAAGATCTGAGATGGACCAGGCAACACCCAACAAAGAATAAATAATAGGCTTATTAATGAAAGAAAGTGGTAGAGACCACAAAGCCTCAATTTTTTCTGTTATATATGCATGGTGAGGTCTCAAAATCATGTTATATTGATAAAGTCGTTTCTTATCATGAAAGTCAGCCAGTGATAAAGGTGCATGAACCTTTCTTCCAATGTATGCATGAACCTTCCTCCAATTCTCTGACTCCTCTAATTTCTGATTGTATTGAATTCCCCAAGGTAGAATACTGGAAATAGTACTATTGAAGCCTCCCAGGAAAATGAAAATTGAACAGGAGGCGTGTTGAGATAGATATATGGGTCAGATCGTGGATAAGGGTTGTGAATTCAAATGAGATATTTATCAGTCACTAAATTATTATTACCGAGTGACTTATTCGTCGTATATGATATGATATACAGATGTGTGTGTGTGTGTGGTGCTGGTGGTGGTGGTGTTAGTGTGAAGAGAACATCATAGAGAACTTTGAAACAAAGAAAACATACAAACAGAAAGATTCAGAAGGCAGAAAACGATCTCTCAGGTTCACGGGTCTGATGGAGATGTCAAGCGAGACAGTATGGCCCAAGTTGTGGATTTGGAAGGTGGGGGCAAATCATTCCCCAACCACAACAAGAGGTTACACACTAGCTTCTCCAATTGCTCCTTCAACCTTTCCCTTCCAAGATTGACTCTTTCTATCTCCCTTTGTCTAGACGAAGCGACAAAATAAGGTGGCAAGTTACGCTGTTATACTGTACGCAGAAGGAATCATCATCCTTGTTACAGTATGGTAAGAAATTATTCAAATATGAGTCCTTGTCCATATTGATAGTACTACGCACGGACTGGTATGTACTCTATCAGGGAATGTTAGGTTTCCCATTATACTGAGAAATACAACTGAGATGTTATTATTAGGGTTATGTTTAGGCATTGGGACGATGGAGAGGAGGACACAAATGGTGGTACAGAACAGAGCGATTGGTTGAGAAAGGCAAAGCAAGAGAAATGGAACCATCGATCTTTTGGCTTACCATGGAATGGAAGGGTCCACTGGGTTCTCCAGAGCTGAATTATGGCTGAGGGGGAAAAGTGGGATTGGCCAGCATAGACCACTAGGCAGGCACATGTTAAGTCCTCATCTTTCATGAATTTTAATTATTATTAATATTAAATATTGTTGTTTTAGGCATATGATGTGTAGGGGTGTTCAAGGCCGGCCCGTCCCGGTCGGCCCGTTCCGGTCCCGGTCTTATTGGGACGGGACGGATCCGTCCCGAAATTTTTCGAGACGGGACAAACCGGGACGGGACAAAAAAGGGACCGGGACGGGACGGGACACGGGACGGGGTCGTCCCGTCCCGTCCCGGTTCCATTTTTTAAAAAAAAAAATTTTAATTTTTTAATTTTTTATATAATATTATTTTTTTCATATTTTTTTAAGATTTGAAACTATTGTATGGAACTATGGATATATTTATTTAGAGTTTTTATATTTGTTAATGATTTAAGATTATTGATGATTAGAATTTTTAGCAAGTTTTTATTGTGTTAAAAGCTTTTGTTTAGAGTTTTTAATAACTATTATATGTAATATTTTGAGCTTTTGTTTAAGAGTGCCCAAACAAATAAAAAAGATGTTTTTATAAGATTTAAGCTCAAAAAAATATAATTAAAAAATTAAATTTTTTAAAAAAAAATTAAAAAAATTAAAAAAAAATAAAAAAATAAAAAAAATAAAAAAATTATTTCGGGACGTCCCGGTCCCGTCCCGGATCCGTCCCGTCCCGACCGGGACCGGGACAACCCCGGAACGGGCCGGGACACGGGACAGAAAATCTGTCCCGTTACTGTTCATCGGGACGGAACCGGGACGGGCCTGTCCCGGTCCCGATCCGTCCCGTGAACACTCCTAGATGTGATCATCATTACTTACTTTATCGATTTTTGGTATCCTTTTTAATGGACCACAAAATTTTCATCATTATTGTAGTAGTTATTTTCTCCTGCATAAAAGATTCGTTTCAATAACAAATGATGTATGCTGGTAAAAAAAAAAAGAAAAAAACAGATGACGTAATAACAGTGAGCGTAGTATAGAATATAGCCTACCTCCTTCTCATATTTAATATAAAAATTTATTTGATTTTTATTTTTATCTTAAATATAAAATCATTAGTCTATTTTATCTTAATATTTATTTATTTTTGTTAAAATAATCTGTGTAGTAATAATAGTTCTAACTAATATATTTAATTAATAAGAACATTTTAGGAAAGAAAACTTTTATTTATTACAGATAACTAACTTAACTAATTTTCTTAATCTAATCAAATTAGTCAACTAGTTTTTATATTAAAGACCAAAAGTAGTATTAAATAATTACGTTTAACGCTATGGATATAAATTAATTTATATTATATTATCTCATGTCTTAATTATAAGACTTCGTTTATAGACTAGAAACGATATCTTATAATTAGTATCGAGACAGTACGTCTTATTAGCCTTTTCGACTTACGGCTGTAATATTTATAATAAATTTTGACATGGACACGTCAAATTTAAGGATCTCATGTAGTGATAAAGTTAAAGCTTAGTATGTATTTATGACTGTACGTATGCATATTTTAATTTATATAAAATGTTTTTAATATTTTAACAAGAGAGAAAATAAAAAGATTATTCTTCACAGATTTTTTTTTAATTATGTCTAAACCTCAAAAGATTACTGGAATTTCAATAGTGTCTCTACCAAATTTGGCATTTGAGACATAAACTATCAAACATCACCAAACCATGCTAGGCCCACAATAAGATACTGAAACATAATTGCAGCGAGGGATGGGATTTAATTTGCATGGTTTAAATAACGAAGTTGAAGAGCGTGGAGAGAAAGAGATCAACTAAACGGAGAGAATTTCGACCCAAAAGACAAAGTAAACGGAGAGAATAAATAAAAATGAACGAAGAAGGCACACGTACATATTCTCAGTCAGCACTATTTTTTTTTCTTTCCTCATGAGATTTTATTTCCGGATTTATGGACTTCACATGCAAACCCATTATGTAAGGTTCCCATGTTCTTCACGTTCTCATCTTCTATCTCCAATTATTCTTGCCAAAAGATAAAGCGTCCTTTTGTTGATATGCCTCTCCACTGATCAATGTCTCAAATACCAAACAGGAGATTAAGCACTTGTTTAGTTTTTTTTGTTTAAAAATAATTTTTTATTTGTAAAAACAGAAAAAAAATTATCTAATAATTTTTTTAGTTGATTGTTTTGAAAAACAAAAAAAGGTAACATGTTTTTAAAAACTTACACAACTTTTACATGTTTTATATTTTGTTTAAAATTTTTTTGAGAAATCTTCTTTTCTTTTATCTACTATCCACTACTTATCACTATCAACAACAACTATCACTTGCCAAGTGTGATTTTTTTTAAACATGATTTTTTTAATTATTATCCAAATAAATTCTTTTTTTTTGTTTTCAAAACTTATTAAAAATTTTATAAAATTGTTTTGAGAACAAGAAAACAAAAAATAAAAATAAACAGGCTTTAAACTATTCCTCTTATTCTTATGGTCCATTTGGTATGAACGAAATGAAAGGGAGAAGGGGAACGGAAAAATTGCAATAGCTCAATAGCTCATTTTAAAAAATTGAAGACAGAGGGTTAAAAAGTTTTGATTAATTTTTATTACTCTTTTATCTTAATTTTTTAAATCAAACTTATTAAAAAAATTTCCCCTCCCTTCTCTTTCATTTCCCTCATACTCGTACCAAACATAAAGTTAATGTAAAATCTAATTAAGTAATTTGAGTATACTAAATATGTTAGTTAAATTAGTTAATATGATTTTTTTTTCTAAAATACTCTAAACATCTTCCTAATTCTCACCGTTCCTCTCTTACTTGATTATTATTGAGAAGATATTAATAGGGTTAATTTGTAAAAAAATTGATAAACATATAAAATAAGTTTTATATTTAAGACTAATATCTAGGTTTTACATTTAGAACCAATATCTATATCTTATATTTAGGATCAATATTGATTCTCTAACTAAGTCTTGTATATTAAGGAGCGAAGGAGTATTATATAATACTATCATGTTCAATCTTCAATGGTTCACACACGGTGCAACTTGTAACATACTGTTTTTTTTTTAAAAAAAGTACAAAATAAAACACCACCTCACCTTTTTCCAGGAAGGGGGTTATTAATGAACATATATAGGAAAAAAAGGAGGGAGGGCGGCCTAAGCAGAAATAGAATGAGGGTGTAGTAAATGAAAGTTGGAAAGGGGAGGAGTAGTAAATGAAGAAGGAAAAGATGGAGAGCGGGTGGTGATTGGAGGATGAGGAAAAACAAGATAAAAGAAGCCGGGAAGACGGAAGAGAATGAGAGAGCGGAGAAGAGAAGGAGAGAGCAAGAAGCAGTGAGAAAAATCGAGAAAGAGGGAAAGTAGTTAGGTGCTGTCTGAAAAATGAAAAATAAGATAAGATTTGGGGATTATATTACACAAAACTATTTTTGTCAAATTTTTTTATAAATATTTCTTATATATTTATAGTTTCATATTATTAGTATCATTATAATGTTTAGAGAAAATTTTACTATTTGGGTATAGAGTAAATATAGAGTTTTGACAATATATGATTGTAGAAATTTAAAGATATATTATTAAAAAAATTTAATTAGTTATATTTGTTTAATG